AGAAATGTTTCGGTCCACTAATTCGTATATATTTCTTACCATTACCACAATTGTCAAGCCTGATGTCTGACATATGCTTGACATATGCCAGCACCAACTGATCATCGAAATGAATGAACAAACCGTAGAGGAACTGACTGCCCCACTAGCGAAATTGAACCCTGGATCTTCAGCATGAGTTGGGCGCATTTCCCACTACGTCATGCTAGCTAGCCAGCCAACAGAAGGTATGCAAAGTTTTTGTATGTTCGTTGTTTCCAGTTCTTATAAAAGGATCCAAAAAAGATTTCGCGCAGTCGGCGCTTTCAGACCTGTTTATTTTCGAATATTATATAGCAGCCAAAAATTACTCACCACCAGCTTGTCACACTGCCTATCAACGATACGCAGCGCTTCTCGAAGTTCTTTGTTTTTCTCATTTACAAGTTTGAGTTCATCAGCCAATTTATCTGATGACTTATCTTCACAAGTGCCGGCTGCTTCCTGAAAATAATGGAAAATGATTGAAAAATACATCGAACAGTGGACATAGCGGGTATATCGGCGCGTTTTTCTATCCGGGAAATGTGCAAACCTGCGTTTTTAGGGATTCTGCATCATCATCACCATTATGGTCTGCTGCTCCGACAACAGAGTTGCATGAGTTTGTAGTCGGAATGCCGGGAATGCATATGCTGTGAGTCTACAATCATTCCACAGTGAGGAAATGAGCGAATTAATTGGGATACGCAAAAGCGTACTAGCACAACAAGTACTCACTTTGGAAAGTCCAAGGACCGGGGGATTTTCGTGAGTGCAGTTATCCTGTGAACCTCGAGTATCGCTGCCGCCTTGTGCAATATTTGTTTTTGAATCACACAAAATTTCGCTTTCCGTCTGAAACCACAGGAAAGTCAACTGAATGCATTCGCCCAATGCACTTTTCATCCAGAAATCAAGTGTCTCTAAAATTTTCCTCGCGTTTAGAGGGGTACGTACTGCTCACACACAGTAGCCACACAAGTAATTGGGTCGTTCTCTGGAGTACCTCGAAGGAATAAATGAAAGAGAACAGCATTTTATAAAATGGTAAGAAGCCAGAAACTAAATGTGCGACTCCTGAAACGAAAGAATTCGCAATCAGACGGCGAGAGAAACATAACTGTGTGAGCGGCAAGGATCTTTTCTTCACCAAACTTTCCCAAGCCGAATTTTCAAGGGCTTATCTGGAAGAAAGGAGGAAAGTTCGTTAGGCCACTGTAAACTGTTTTTCCGTGTTTTCTGTTGTAATAAAAAAATACGTGACAAGAGCGGAAAGCATACCAAACATCGACGAGAAGAGAGAAGCCTCGAGTGCTCACGCTTTAGTTCATTGTATTCACACCTGAATTTGAAGCATTTAATTTACAGTAT